CCTTGCCATATCTCTGTTGCCTAGAATTGCCTTTGCTGTTCTAGGGCTCTTCTGGTTCCAAATGAATTTTTGGATTATGTTCTGTAGTTCTGTGAAATATACTGTTGGAATTTCAATACGATTGCATTGAATCTCTATAGCCGTTTTGGTAGTATGGTCATTTTAACTATGTTGATGCTTCCTATCTTGGAACAGGGCATATCTTTCCATTTTCTTATTTTGAATAATGTTTTATTTCAATTGTGTGTTTTAAAAATCCAAAGGAGATGAAAGAAAATGTCGATTCCAGCGGTGCTTCTCATATCATTCTTGTATTTTTAAAAACTGCGCTCCTACTCCATTGAGGTTTAGTGAAAATGAGGATTTAAGTTATAAGCATGTTCAGGCTGGATTGAACATTACTTATGACAGGCGATGGGAGATGTTCTATGGACAAGCCCCCAGCAAACCTAAAAGAAGCGAATACATGCTTATTTGAACAGTGGCCAAGCATGGGGAAAGATGCAGATCATCCAACCCACATTTTCCCTTTGACATGGTTAGAGCCTATAGTTTGTCTTGCTGGCAAATGGCCAGTGCAGGCTATTTGCAGAAATTCGTAATTGGGACAATAGAAAGGAGAAGACAGACTCAGGTGGGCCAAAAAACCATTGCAAAATGAAATTTGAAATCCCAGGGACATTGAGAACTCTGTCGTGCAGACACAAACTGCTCAAGGACAGGGACTGTGAGGAGCAGTATTGGCAAGATGCACCCTGCAGCCCAGCCCCTCGCCCCATCCTGGAATGGCAGAAATCTCTGTGGAAGATGTGGGAGAGGGTTGTCCATCAGAGCGGCATTTGGGGAAGATGACAGTGCTGTTGCAATACCAAGGTCTCTCTTTCTTTCTGCCTTTTCTGAATTCTGATTCTAGAGCTCAGTTGCAAACAAATGGAACATTATCATCACCCTTGGTCCTTGCAGGATCTCTGTCTTAATGTATTTTTCTCTATGCACTTAGGTATTGATTAATTTAATTCTTACTCTTCTTGTGCTCCATACATTTTTGCGTGAATTCTTATAAAATATGTTATACTGTGTGAATGGCATGACTGACCAAGCAGTCATGTGAAGGGCAGTGGGTAGCAGACCTCATTGCATTTTATTAGTAAGCGGCACGGTTTTAAGATACGTCTACGTATCTATGTGTCTGAATAATGCATTGTATCCTATTCCTACATGATGCTTTATAGGGGACGTATTTACCTACCCACTTTCTCAGCAGTAGACAGCAGATTCCTTTTAAAGTCATGCCAGGACAGAAATGCAGCACCGAACCCCCTGTGGACCTGTGTGAGAATTTTGGAGAAATCCTCAGGAGCAAGATTTCTGGATCACGGAATATGCATCCATATAGTTTACCTAAATGGGTTCAAACTGTATTTTCAAGTGGCTCAGCAAGCCAGTAATCTCTCTATCAATGTGAGGGGGTTCCCATAAACTCCGGATCCCACCAACGCACGACAGGCACAGGAGTTGACGGTCTACAGCTCGTGAGCCAAGCACTTCCCAAGGGATGTTCTGTCGATAAAGTTTTATTAGAACTCAGCCACACTCATTGGTTTACATATTATCCACCAATACCTTAATGACACAATGGCAAAAATCTATAGTTGAGACAAAGCCTCCGTGCCTCACAAAGCCTGCATATTTACTACCTGTTCCTTTACCAAAAAACTTTACTGAGCTCTGACACAATGTTCTATGATTTGCTGTCTAGTGTCGTAAGTGATATTTAATTGTTTTAATTTGGATTTCTCTGGAAAGGGATGCTTCTGAGCACCCGTTCACTGGCTTCTTTGTCTAAAGGTCTCCTCTTTGTGAAGCACCGTTCATATCTTGGAGTCTTTCTTTCTGATCAGTCCCAGGGTGTAAGAAGCTTTTATCTTAATCCAAGAGACAACAGGTAGAGCGTCATGGACCGCACAGCTGAGTCTGGGGGTAAAGGTAACCTAACTTCCTTTTGTAGACAGGGCTCTGATCTCACTCACCTGACAGGTAAGTGTCCAGAGTGGGACGCAAGCCTTCTCCTCTGAACTGTGCTCGGGGGCTTCTCTCTCGCCTCCACACACTGGAACTTTCTCTTTGGGTTGCATTTCCAAAATGCAGTACCTACACTTTGACGCTGTGAAGTGCTAACTGCAGGGAGAAGTGGCTCCTGCCCCTTCCCACCAATGCTTCCTCGGGAGCAAGTCCTGCCCTCCCTGCAAAGGAATTACCCATAAAAGAAGAATCTGCTTCTTGTCCATGGTAACCTTCGTTGAACATTTCCACAGGATCACTTTGCCTGGAAATAGTGCATTTTTCACTTTTACCGCTTTGCCAATAGGTTTTCTAACTACTGATTAAGAGGGTTTGCATAAGTCCTATATTCCATATAAAGGACCAAATAGTTTTCATCACACCTATAACACGTTATCAAGGAAGGCTCATTTTACGTTTTGCAGCAAAACGGAAGTGTTGTCATAGGCGTGGCCGGCAGCAGTCGCTGAGGCTCCTTGGATAATTATTCCTAAATCCTGTTCGGGGGAAGCCAAGATAAACAAACAGACCCACGGGAGAACTGAGACCGAAAACTGAGAATCGATCGGTAACACCAAAAACACCACGCGCCCAAGGTGAGCTGCTTCTAGACAAGCGTTCTAAGTGGTCTTTTTCTACAGATGGTGCAGGAATACCCGGATGTCTGCACACAAGAAAAGCCTGGCTTCAGTCGTCACCGTGAGGGATCACGGCCTTTCACGGGGTTTCAGACCTAAATCATCTCACAAACCCAGAAATCCTTAATTAATGAAAAGCACGGATAATTTTCATCTCAGATTTCCCCAAAAAAGAAATCTATGCAACCATTTTTTTAAATCTTCAGGTTCAGTAACTATGTACTAGAAATAAAAACAGGGTTAGAAGTTCCTTTGAACTCTTTGTCTCTTAAAATGTCAAAATACGACTTTCCGGCCCCCTTTCTGTCTGTCTTAGACAGAAGCTGTCTTTCAATAAATTCTTCCTAGTCCTAAAAAATAATCTCAAAAAAAAAAAAAACCACAACAAACTACAAAAAGAATCTAAAGAGTTTTAAATTTCACTAAAATAGGCCATATAAAACCAGTGTAAAGTGAATTCACCTTTACCTCTTCTCCATGGCCAATATACTTCATGGGTATTTTTTCTAATGTTTAAAAGAATTTTTTTTAACATTAGTAATTCATCACCTATGGGGGAAAGGCCCATCAAACACATAAGAAAGAAACTAAAATACTAAAAAGTCTTATTGCATCAGTTAAAGATAATTTCTCTAAGAAACTAATAAAAAAGCCAGGCATGGTGGTGTAGCCCTGCAACCCTAACACTCTGAGAGGCTGAGGCAAGAGGGTCACAAGTTCAAGCCCAGTTTGGGCGATTTAGTGAGTCAGTGAGACCCTGGGTTGGTATTTCTTAAAAGCGTCAGGGAGGTAAACTCATCGGAAAGACCTTAGCTTCCATCCTCAGCATCCCACACACAAAAAGAGAGGGCTGGGGGTGGGGGAGACTTTTGCTACCTCTAGTTTTTGTTTCATAATGAGAATCACTCTCTGATTTCTGATTAGGATTCAGTTTGGAAAGAAAGGTAACTTTTTTCCTTTTATTAGTACACATTTGCAGGGCACAGTGATTACCTCCCCTGTAGGAAATCGGTGCATGTTTCAACTCTTAATTTCCCCCCTTCCCCTCTCTCTCCATTTCTTTCTCCGGCATCGGATTTATTTATTTATCTTATAAGAACTTGTACAGTTAATTATCATATATACAGACTGGAAACCAGACTATTAGGCCAAAGAGCACAGAAAACTTGTAAGACAATTGTACTAAGTCAAGGTATACTTTTAGATACATTGTCTGTGCTGCATTACAATCACTTTTCTCTCTGTTCCTATAATCTGTCTTTTATTTCATACCACATTAATATATAATACACACACATTGAGTTTTTCTTGCAAGAGAAACCATGTACTATTTAAGCGCGTGTGTCTGAGTGACTTCATTTAACATCATCATCTCAAAGTGCATCCATTTTCCACAAGTGACTCAAGTTTATCTTTCTTTGTGGCAGAGTAGTGCCCCATCGATATAAACACCAGGTTTGCTTTAACCCGCTCATCTGTTGACACATAGGCTGTTTCCAAGACATGGCCATTATGAATTGGGCTGCTATAAACATGGATATGCATACGTCCCTGTGGTATGCTGTGTTTATTTTAATCTGCACCTCCCTGGATCATTTCCTTGGTTTCCCAAGTACACTCATGGTGGGAAAACTGAAACCACCCAGCCCGAAAGAGATCCGGGGTGCCAGGGAACCGCTTGTTCTCCCTCTCCTCCAGCTTGGGCGTCTGTGGTTCTGGCCACGTGCTGCCCTTTCCGGCCAGTGCAGACAAACCCACGGAAGTGGAGGCCCACGGTCCCCACGATCAAAGGTGACCTGAAGGGATCCAAGGTAGGGCTGAAGAGGGAATGCCAGCACCGCATGCCTTCTCCATTATGCGTAACCACTCACATTTGTATCAGCAGCTGGCAGCGAAGGGGCCTTCTGAAAGATCAGGCAGCGCTCTATGAAAACACAACTGAGAGAGAAGGCTTTGCTCACATGAAATGAGCTGACGACATCAGGAAATGCAGGATGCAGGCTGGACCTTGTGTGCTGAAAGCTGCCCTCTGTTATGGGCCAGCTCTTACTGGCTGATGAGTTCTCTTGTCAGCATCGGAGGGAATGAGGGGCTGGGTCCTGATAACAGCAGAGTGTGGGCAGCATTGGAGCCCCTGGAGGCAGGCACCCTGGCCTGGCCATGCTCCTGCACAGCGGCGCACCTCTGGGGAGTACGGGGTGCTCTCCGGCCCAGCGTGGACTTAGGGCAGCTCAGCTCACAGTGTGGCCGGCAGGAAGTCGGCCAGCTGGTGCTTGTTTTGCACACACTTGGAGACGTGGCTCAGAAGCAGCTGGAGCCACAGCTGGGTGCTTTGCCTGAACCCGTCACACAACAAGCTGGCTGGCACAGTGGGGACTTTCGGCCACAACTGTGGGAAGCGGGTCCACCATAGGTTGGGTGGCCAGAGCGCAAGGTGCCACAGGAAACTGGCTTGCAGGAGTTCTTCTCAGAACAAGGGGACTGGCAGGTGGCCAATGGCTGGCAGATGAAGGACACGGGAGACACTGGTTGACATTGGCACAACTGGCAAGAGCAGGGCACCCAGCAAGTAGGACTGCAAGAACTGAACATGCAGGTCATCAGCTGGCAGGAAACAGGAATGCAGGGAATGGACTGGCAAGGCTCAAAGACACAGCAGATGGGTTGGTAACATGTGGCACTGCAGGGCTGGTCCTCACCTCCAGTGGGGTGCCACGAACCTTGGCAGCAGCTTGGTGGGCACGGACTTGCTGCCGAGAGAACTGGTGGGCAGGATGGTTCAGCACAAGAAGTTGCTTCTGAGCAGGATGGCTGGCAGGAGTTTGCATCACGGCAGGCGGATTGGCCGCATGCTGCCTGGCATGGCCCAGATGGGCAGACAGGTTCCCGGCAGCAGCTTTGTTGGCGGGAACTGGCGTCGCGGTACTTTGTCTCACAGCCAGCCGAGTCCGGGCAGGACGGTGGAGGGGAGGGGACCAGATGAGGAGAGTGGTCAGCGCTGGATTCAGAGCAGGCAGTGCCGGGGCAAACGGGTCGGCAAACGAAACCCACACAAGACATGTCCGGAAGGTGGGGAGCGAGGCAAGAGACAGGTTCACAGCCCCTCAGAAGGCTGCGGGATGGCTGATGGTTTTCTTGGCATGTGACCAGTTGCCACGTCCTACTCTGGCAGGAACTGGGCAGAAAGGCAGCATTTCGGACTCTGCCACCTCGTGGGCACGTGGCGGTGGTAGGCACAGCTGGAGTGGCCGAGTCCTTTCCAGGACAGCAGCTCTTCACCATGGCGCTCTTGCCAACCTTGCTGGGCAGTCGCAGACTCAGGATGTCTGAGTTTGAAAGATCTTACACGGAGAGGCATTTATAGTCCTTCACCAGGGGTGCTGGCACCGCAAATAGTATCTTTCCTTGTTATTGTTTTTACTCATTTGCATACCAACATCTGATTACAAAGCTTCAGGAGTCCCAGAGATGTCTCAACTTAAAAAAAAAAAATGTGTCTGTTAAGTTAGAAGTTCTCTTTGCTGAACCTGCGTTCATCAGTGCTGCTCTGGGATGAGCTGTCTCTTTACAGGTGGGGCCCCAGCCCCGCTGAAGCAGGTGCTACCCCCTCATCAGGAGGCCTCCCCCAAGCCACCGCACCCTGTCTTCCTCCAGGAACACAACCCCGTCCATCTACACAATCAGGAAGCGAAGCTCTGGCCCTGCTGGGAGACAGGGTACCAATAACAGGGACCAGAAAAGTCGGTGCAGGAGCCCAAGGACACTTAAATGTCGCCACCTCTTCCTAGAACCGGAACTTTATTAATATTACAACCAATAGCAACTGTGGAGGCTTCCACTGGCTGCATACTGATCTGTACCAAGCCCAGGACTGCATATTTCAATTACCCCGGCAATGAACTCAGTACGTATAATTGTCATTGCTGTGTTAGAAGTTGCAACCCTGACTGAGAGAGCTGCAGTCCTGTTCCTCAGATTATATGCAAAATCAGGAGTATTCAGACCTAGCTGGCTCAGCTTGAAATCTCTGACCTCAGCCATCTACCCATGAGACTTTCTGGCACTGGGGAGATGGGCAGACTCAAACAGATGGAGGCTGGCATTTGTACAGTGGCTTACGGCACTGACTTCTGAGCAGGCTGCCCAGGCCCTGGGCTGGGGATCATCTGTCCACCTCTGCGGCTATAATTATCAGCTACAGCAAACTAGTTGAATGTTTGCCTCTACTTAGCAACACACCCAAAGATGACCTTTTCATTTGGGAGGTTTTAAAACAGGAAATATTTCATCGAGAAAAATTAGAAGTTGGGCATGGTCCCACGTGTCTGTAACCCCAGCACTCTGGGAAGATCACAAGTTTGAGCCCAGCTTGGGAAACACAGAACTTTCTGAGGCACTGCTGTAAAATAAAATGTATTTTAAATGGGATGGGAATGGAGCTCAGTGCAAAGGCCCTAGATTCAATCCCCAGTATCAGAGCAAAGAGGAAGAGGAGGAGCAGAAGGCAGAGAAGGGCTAAGGAGGCTCATAATGTGGAGTCAGCAGCACATAATTTCTAAAAGTATGAAACTACAGCCACCAGAAGTACTATCAGGACGTCAGTGCAAAGCAAGTGTACAGTTAAACCAGTTCCTCCCAGAGGAATGTGTGAGGGGCTCCCCTGACCCTTGATCTTCTCTGAGCTTGTCCAGGCTCTGCATGGCCAAACAATGTCTTTCCGTCCGTCTGTCCACCCATCCATCCATAGTGATCCGCCCACCCACCCAGCATCTGTCCATGCCCGTCCACACTGGTCCACATCCTGGTCTAAGCTCATGCTGGAGGCACGTGGTGGGATGGGGCGGTCAGACAGAGCTGGACTCGATCTCTGGCTGTGCTCCTAGCTCACGGTCAGACATGTTAACCGGTCACCTAAGTCTTCAAGGTGCCAAAATTTTCTCAACTACATTGCTGTTTTTCTTGAGAGGTTTTCATTCTTCTTTAGCTGCCTCACAAATTACTGAAAACGTCCACAATTCCGGAGGATATTTTGCAAAGCACCAGCTACAAAACACCTTCTCTTTGAACCTCTCTTTGCCCTCTTTAAAAGAATAAGAAACTTCCAATCAGCACAGTAACTGGAAAACCTTCACCTGGTCATCAAAATGCTTTTGTCCTGCCCTTACTTTTACGTCATGCCACGCATCACATCTTGTGTTCACCTCATCTGTGCTCCTTTTGGCATCTTTCAAACTATAGGGATCCCTGCACTGTGTGTTACTCTTGAGTCCTTGTACCCCAAAGCTATGCCTCCCCAGAGGAAATACTTTGGCTTTTACCAAATAGGTCGATCAAATAGGAACATGAATGTGTTTGAGAGACCACATCAACTTTCCTGAAAAAAAAATCTATATCCACTTAGTTTTTAGGCAATTCATTTTTCACCCATTTTTCTAAGTGCTTTTGCTCTCATGTTCTTTCTTCTCAAAGAAACCACTAGTGAAGAGAAAAAACTCTATTTTGCGTGGTCTGAGGAGCTAAAGACATGTATGTCACCGAAGACATCTTGTGACCACGTCGAGAAATATGGTTAGCCATAAAGAATACACGCTTCAGACTAAATTGGGTTTTAGTCATGTGTGTGTTACTACTGATTATCTCAGTTTTGTGTCTCTCTTACTCTCCCCCTGTGTATGTGTGCGTGGTCTTCCAGACCTTGCCTGTATGAGCCAGCATAATGCTAGGAAGGGGCACCCATTTTGAAGCACACAGTCGTTGTGCAGCCACTTTGCTATGTACACTATTCCACTGTGTGTGTAACTACAATCTACTTGTGTGCTGATGAGAGGTACCTCGTTCGTCTTTCAGCTGTTTCATTGCATAGCTAGAAAAGAAAACAGGGGGAAAGAAATCCTACCTCGCAGAATTGCTGTGATGTATGAAACAGTAAGTCCAGGGTTTCCTACAGAGACTTAACACCCTACCTAACCACTCCTTTGGGCCCTGAAAGGGGAAAGAAACAAACCCCAACGGCCTGACGAGATAGTAACTCCAACATCAATGTGCAGAATAAGTTTCACTTTTGACTTTCGTCCTCGAACGGTTCTCAAACGAGTGGATTTGCGGCCCCGGGGGACACTTGGCAATGTCCAGTTGGTGGACACCAGGAATGCTACCATGTGTAAGACGGTCTCCACCACAAAGAATCGCCCAGCCAAAATGCCAACAGTTCCAAAGTCAAGGAGCCTGGTCTAACTAACTTTGCCTACGGTCCACGGGCTTGAGCTCTACCTTGAGGACAAGAAACTCTCCCCTCGGAGATTATGAGAGGAACCCTATGGGTTCTACACATAGCATCTGTAGGGGACCAGGAGAAGATAATAAAAACCGTCCCTCAGGAAATCTGCGTTAAGCAAACTTCCTTACTGGAAACATGATCGCCGTTTGCTGTTTCATCCACTTCAGACCATCGGCTTCTTCCAGGACCATGTCTTTCCGTTAGGTCCCCGCACTAGGCTAGAGGAGCTTCCCAAAACTCATCTCACTTATGCATGTCTATCTATCTATCTATCTTCAGGTCCCTGCCCCACATACACGTACTCTACGCCTTCATGTCCCGCACCAAACCCAGGGGCGTCTGCCTAGCACCCAAGGCCCAGCCTAGGTAGATCACCGCCTACCCTGACCTCAAGCTCCCCCATCCTCTAAGGACACTCCTGCCCAAGCCATGCTTCGTGAGAGTTTTTCTGCTAAGTCCCATACATTTGGCATGTTTTCTCGGGCCTCAAGAGCTCTTCCTTCCCTGTTCATTACTGGTTAACTCCTACTTGTGCTGGAAGGTTCAGCCCCAGCATCACATTCCCCAAGAATTTTTACCTGCTCCCCGCCGCACACACACCTTGCAGAGCTGCACAGACCCTGAGCTTAGCACAAAGGAACCCAACTGTCTCACTGCCTATGTGTCGTCCTGCTAGTGAGCTACTTGGACTGGGGACTGAGACTTTGGTCTTCTCATTCTTAGAGTCCAACCAAGTTCCTGGTACCTATTTAACAGCTATATAATAATACTAGATGAGTGGACTAGTGTATAAAGAGACGGGTGGACGGATAGAGATGGGTGTAGACCGAGGCACGAGTGGGTAGGTATGATTAGGTGGGTGGGTAGACGGATGGATGATACAGATGGATGTGGGTGGATAACTGGAGGGAGAGGAGGTGGCTGGTGGGCAAAAGGTGAATACAGCACAGAGGAAGGGCAGCCAGCCCAGCCGGGGCCAGAGTGGGCAGCCTTCAGGAGAAGCCCTACCCATCCCGACTCCGCAGGTGAGCAGACGCCAAGCCAGCTAAAGATAGGGATGGGCAGAGACGGATGGGTAAGGACGGTTGGTTGGATGGACGGAGAGACTGATGTGCATGGACGCGTGATGGGTGGATAGAACCGCTCCCCAAAACGAGCAAGTCTTCCGGTGAGACTATGGGACGAGAAAGGCACATCGCTTGACTTAGCCACTTTTATTGGACTGTTAAATGTAGCTCGCTGAGGAAGTGCCAGAGACCCGGGTACCGCGAGTGAGCCCACGAAGAAGAGAGGACATTTTGTGTCAGGAAAGACACCGGTGTTATGGCGACACGGCTCTCCTCGGATGAGCGGCAGAACTCAGAATGCTCCCTGTCCGTGCCCAGGAGGCCTTCCTGGGTCCCCCAGAACCCTGACATTCCTGGTGAGTTCTCTGAAGCATAAGCAGGTGGGGAGCGCAGAGCGTGCGGGGAGGAGCCTGGCTAAGACCTATTTTCTTTGCAGCTGTGGCTTGTTCTGTCGATCGGTGGCCTGGGGCCTGGTCAGCGGTTGGCGGGCTTGCTGGCAGCGGGCTGGGCTGCCGGTGTCTCTCGGGGAAGCGGGCTGGCTGCCTTGGCCTCTGCGGGC